CATAATTAACCATTTTCTTTAATTCTACGCTCTATATAAATATAGAAATCCTACTACATAATTCAAATTTACGTTCGTAAACGAAGATGAACATAACCTCAATTTATAAACAAAGCTAAACCACCCGGAATCGTAAAAATAACTATAAAAGATTAGAAGTGCAATTGTTCGAAGGCAAAATGCTTGCCACCAAGATTCGCGAGGCTTGAAAAGCGGCTTAATCCTGTTGAACGCAGAAACTGATTGAAAAAACCGATTGAACGGCGTCCAAGAAGACTACCAGACTTCTATTGAATCCAATCGACGAAAATAGGTTGGAAGATTGGTGTTCCATGACCACGACTCTTGCTTAGAGATCGATAACCGCACACACGATATTTCCCGTTTTTCTCTTGACCGCGCCTACCACGCGGAGTTCGACGAACTTTGTGCATGCGTTTTTTCTGCCTTCTTCCTTATTTCGACTCTCCAACTCCCCGCACGGCAGCGCTGTAAGAGGAGGGGTGGGGGGAGCGCTCGAGTCTAGCGAAGACGAGCGTTTGTTTCGCTTCGAGACACGTTGATAGATGGCTGGGGCGAGAGGAATAAGAAAGTGCGAAGGGAGAAGGGTCTCTCCCTCGAGTTTGACGCAATTTCGATCTTTACACGAATTTATGGCGACGTTGCCTTTCTTCGAGCACGATTAAATGGGTTTTGGGGACGTTTTGAGGTTAGGTTGAATCGGTGCTTGAAAAAGTGGATTGTTTTAGGTTAGAAAGATGGGGATATGAATATATTTTGGGTTAAAGAAAGGTTAGGTGTTGAAGAAATTCTCTTTTCTTTTCTTTTTTTATTATTATTCTCTCGAGGAATGATAATAAAGAATGGTAATGTAATGGTATAATATTTGAAATTGAAATTTTAATACGGACTTGTAGCGATATTGAAGATTTTAGAGAGTGGCATTGATAAATTTTATTTGTTTTGTAAATGCTTTCTGAAGGAATTGCGAAATTTTCTCAGAAGAAGTTTAAGTTTATTCCATAAATAAATGGAAGATAAGCAGGGTTAGAAATATAAGGTTAAAATTAGATTTCAATTCAACAACATTTGACAAACTTTGTATGAAATTTAAAGAAATTGATATACATCTTGTGATAGAAATTTATAAAATCTTGTCACTTTCAATTATTTTCTTATATGTTTAATAAATCCTTTCACTTTAACAATTTCCATAAATTCTTCTTCTCTCAAGAATCTTCAAAGAAGTCCTCAATTATAGCATCAATCATTACACAACAAATTTCAACTAGTTTCAATTTCAAAAAGAAAAATATCCAATTATAATTTCTCATTCCATTCAACTCCCTTTTTTCATAGAAACAACGATATCTAAATTGCTCTAAATATCTCTATTCATATCTTTACATTTTTTTTTATATTTATCCTATTCTCTAGAAAGTAAACAAACGATTCCAACACGGATTGTTGGAAAAGTCCACAAGTTTAGCGCTTCAAAAAGCGGTTCAAGGAAATTTTTCAAGCATTAAAAAAAAAAAAAAAAAACGTTCCTCTCTCTCTCGAGTTCTTGAACCAGTCCAGAAGGTTGATTCTCTATTTTTCTTCGTTCGCCCCGTGTTTACAAGCTCCTCAACCGGAATATAGCGAGCTGGCGCGCGCTAGTTTCTCTTCGTTTAGATGGAAAAACACCACGTGTCCGCTCCCAGCTTTTTAGATGCTTTCCGCGAACACGGGGTGTTACGATGCACGGAGAAAAATAAACCGGTGTATTCAGACGTCTCTCTTTTTATAACCGCTGACGATTGAATCGTAGACAAATATTTGTTGAACGCGATTTAATTACTTTTGCGAGGAGGGAAGGGAAAAAAGATTCGAAATCGTAATAATTTCATCATCGCGATGCATAAAATTATTGGAGATTAAAAAGTTATAATTAAAATTCTTATTCAGAAATATCTCAGAAAGGATCAAGAAATATATAACTGATAATTAAGCCAATTAGTCGAAGCGACGATTGTGTCATTAATTTTACAAAATTACATCATAACAACTTTTCCAACTTGCTGCAATTCTCGATCCAACATTTTTATTTGCAATCTTGCTTTTCTCTATCTGTTATAACGCTGTTTATTATTATTATATAAATTGTTTACAAAACTTCTTTTTCGATATTTTTTTTTTTTAATAATAAATAAACAGAATACAATCGTTCCATTTGAAGAAACGAGAAAAGAAAGAATCGATCAAAAAATTTCGAAAATTCGTTAAAAATTAATTTATTTCTAGGCAAAATTTTCCTTTTCTAAACAAAATTCATCGTTTAATTTCTTCAAGATAACCACGAAAATAATCGAATCGAATTTTAATAATTTTATCCACGGGAGCCAGAGAATGATTTTATTAACCGAAATCGTAAATAAAATACGGAGGGGAGAGAGGGGAAAGTTTGCTCAGCGATCGAGCAATCCTTATTTCAATCAAAAGTGACAAAGCCTCGGTCAGATTTGATATCCGATCATCAATGAAGAGTGGAAAGGAAGAAGAGGAACTATTGTCTCCGTTTCCACGAACCTTCTGATTGAAAATTCGAAGGAAAAAGATCTCGTTGAAGATCTTGATTGCAAGGGAGTGAGAATCAGTCGACCTTCGAACGTCTCTTATTAAATATCTCGTTTCATACTTTTATATCTCGTCTCTTCAAGGCTTTGCTAACTCCTTTTTTTTTTTTTAACTTCCTTTTGTCCTTTCGATGTCTTCGAAAATTTTTCATCGTCCTTTCTTTTGTTTTTTGGATTTATATTTTGAACAGATCAAATTGGAGATTTTCTTCTCCCTTCCTTTCCTTTAACAAAAATTATTATTATTAAATTATACGTAGAATTTGATACAAAATATGGAAAATTTTTATGAATGAATAAATTAACTTTTCGATCAAATAATATTTCTCAAAATTTTGTACTTTTGACGTTACATGAAAAGCTTACCTTTAATACCTTTGTATTTGTAAAGAATTATCTTTGTACTCGATAATCAAGACTCGTTTCATTAGATACTTGAGCTTCAAGTATTTTATTTTAATTGTTATCTTTATTACACTCTGAAAGATAAAAAAATATTTGCCTTCGTCGAAGCTACCAATTTATAAGTTTAATCAATAAGCACGATCAAAATTTAAAATTATATGATAATCAAATTCCGTAAAACGAGCAGACTGTGCCACTGTCTTCGAAAAAATTTTTTTTCCGACGCACGATCGAAAAAAAAAAA